TCGAAGTTTACATGCCACACACTTTCTTGCCTTCTTTGATGAACGTATTGTTTGTATTTTTAATTGAAAACCACGTTGCATTGGGGTAGTATGGTACTGCACATATCGGGATGCTGGTTGCATCTTCAATGACTTTGTCAAGGACATCAGATATGAGTTCCCACGGTGGGTTTGCCCATGTGTTTGCTTCATGTGCCCACTTTCGTAGGAGCGCATTCTGTTCCTTTATGTAGTATTCATCTGTGTGTACATTAGTGGCGATGCAAACAAATCTACTATAGATTTCCCAACCCGGCTTTCAGCTTCTTTATAAATCTGGGGTGTAACATCCAGTCTATAGCTGATGGTAATAGGCATGTTTGTTTCCAAGGTTTTATAATCTTAGCCGTTGTGTGTTGCTTATGCACCTGTCAATGTATATCATATCCTTGCCAATATTTGCCATGCAGCCATAGACTTGTGTGCCACATTTCTGCAAACAGCAATTCCGTCTGCAACATAAATAATCACCGTCGTTCATATGATTGCACATTGTAGTCGCCAGCACATTGTGTAGACAATAGCGACAATACTCCTGAGCCTCTTTTCAAACTATGTCTACGCATGTAACTGTCGTATATCAACTCAGAGATAAGTTATAATTGAAACCAGCCAATACGTAAGTAATGCTGCCGTAAGCAGACCATCTTTGTCATGGATTGTACCCATTTAGCTGCCATTCGAAGTGCCTTTGCATCAGACATAAATATATAAAAATTATGATCATTGTCAAATGTAATCTACAGAGCAGTTTTCGCCGTGTGCGTTGGATATTCCTGAGTTGCAAAGCTGACGGCTGCTGACGTACTTGTAAAAGTTACGTCATTTTTTGCTCTCAACATTATTGCTCGACATAGTTGTGTCCTTGCAAAGCACTATTGGCGTCCTAGCAATCACTTTCACCTTCGATCAGTTGTAAATCGATTTAAAGTTGAACCTTTTGTACTATCGAACTGTACTGTCCTGAATTTTCAAGTCAGCTTTGTGTCAATTCTACACAATATTAGCTTGTAATGTTTTCCTTAGCCACCAGTATGTACTTTACCTGCATGTATGTATCATATCCCAGTGATGGCTGGCTCAAATAAAGTTGTCCCGTGCGTACAGTTGGTAAGTGCGGAACTTGTAGATTTTAATCGGTACCTAAAAAGTATTTTGTGAGTCCTGCTAATTGCATGGTTTGCATCCATCCAGACTGTGCCCTTGTCTTAAGACGAGTCAAACTCACTGTATGAAGAATCCCGAAATTTCGAATTAATAGCCGAATTAGCAAAATAATCTCCTTGCACATGTATCATCTGCCCTAAGTTGTCGCTCCGCTTGATAACACCTTCCATATGTTGTATGGCCTTATCCAACGTGGAAATCGATTTTTGAGTCTTAGATAATGAAATGGTCTAACGTAATATTAACCTCTGCCCTAGTTTTTCATCCGGTATTGAATCAGAGGAAAGTCATGACGCCACCTCATCGGCATGCAATGGCGACTGCCGTTGAATTTCAAGCAGTCATTTCAACAATCGAACCCAGGCTTTCTTGCTCACGTTGTAACTTGATTCATCGTGCAACAAAAAATTACATAACTAATTAGTTTTAGTTAGCTTAACATGTGAGGAGCGTAATGTAATAAATACAGTAGTTCGGTCACTTAAGAATGTACTAAAAACCAAGTATCACTTAATAAAGAGTGTTAACTCTGAAACAAGTAAATTCAGTCAGAATTGCCATTGGGAATGGCGCGCCTGCTATCTTTATTGATCAAGATCCTATGTGAAACGAGACTTTCTCTACCATCAGAAAAGATAAAAAAACAGTCAACAAAGAAGAAGGCTCTTTATTGGGTTCAACCGGTTGGCAGATGAATCATATTAAGGATATGTTTATATAGAAATAAAACACACAAAAAAATCCGAATCATAAACAAGAACCAATAAATAGCTCATATGTAATTCATAGTATAGATCAATTTCAAAATATATTGATTTTTTAAATGTGTATTATAGTAGCAGCGTACATAGTGTATTTTGAGGCCAAATTGATATTTGAGGGGGATGAAATTGAGAACAATTTACTATTTATAGCAAAAAAAATGTAGATATAATATATTTTGTAGAACACAAAATGTGAGAAAATATAGGTCTGGTATCAGTGGTATGTAAATTACTAGTTTTATTAATATTGACTGGCAGATTAGGCGGTTCGGATGTGCTACTTTGTTTTAGGATTTATTTCAATATTTGGGCCCAAAATACAAGGGGGTACAATATCAACGTTGAACCCTAGTTTTGCCCTAGTTTGTGGTACATTCTAAAACCCTAAGATTGGTGTAATTGATTTTTGTTGTTGTTGCTATTTGATGTTTATACAGTGTTTGGGACTGTAGTTCTGAAAATTGAACATACGGTCTCTATCAGATATTCCAGTTCGACATATATGTACACGATATAGAGGGCCAATATGTATTATATTGGGTCAAAATGTGCCTATATGTGTACTAAATTTAAAAGTGCAAAATGCACCAAAATCCAAAAATCCATGGAGGGGGAGAGTGGTGAGTGGAGGCCCTAAAACAAAGTAGCACATCCGAACCGCCTTATTGATGTGTTAATGTTCGTTAACATGAATTAGTGTATGACATCATTGACTGTAATGCGGTGTAGTCTGTAACTCTGTATGTATTTATGTATTTTCATTTGGGTTTGAATTGTTTGTGTTTTTGTTAAAAAAAATGCACATTCTTTCGCGACAGCACAATTTTATTTGTGCTCTTGTTTTATTTAAAAAAAACAAATTCAAATCATTATCCCAGGACCCAGAGTCCCAGACTCCCAGACTCCAGAGTCCCAGTGACCCAGACTCCAGTCCCAGAGGACCCACTGACCCAGACTCTCTTGGAGACTCCAGAGAATCCACTCCCATCCGACTCCCAGTCCTCGACACTCACTGACTCACACGGCGGGTAGTGACTAGTCTGTCACAACGAGTCTCAACTCACAAGTCACAACTCTCAAGAAAAGAGTCAAGACAGACCCAGAGACGCCCAGCCTCAGGGGACCAGTCGTCCGATCACTGCGATCAGGCATATTTTTAAATTATCTCGCTACCCTAAAGAGTAGAGTAGAGTAGAGGGTTTGGGACTCATTACTCATGGGCCCATGGGCGTCATACCAGTGTGAGTGAGGAATTCCAGAATCCACTTCCTTTTTTGATATTTTATAATTGAAATTGGTTGCAAAAATGAATGGACTTGGTCAGACGTTGATAGTTTTATGTTTATTGGTGCATGGCGTATAGACTATAGAGTTAGAGACATTCGACGTGCAAGTTGCGAGTCGACCTTTAAATATGTATTTTGTTAAAAAACATGAAAGAATTTATAAATATGAAGTAGTGCAGCATCTGATCATCATAATTCTACAAAATGTCTGCACAACTGGCGGATTTCTTGAAGGACAATCGAAAGGTAAATCAACTTGATGCTTCATCAATTGGATTTACCGCCGCTTTAGACGTCGATGCCAAAAATGAAGTCGACATTGACGAAGCAGCAGAAGAAGGCTTTAAGACAGAATTCACAAGATTGGTTTCGGCGAGAAGTATCGAGTGCATACTAGCTAGTAATCACGCTGCGTCCAGTGATGTACTTCGATTTGATCCGAAGGAAATCGGTGTGCCCAAGATCTTCCGTGAGAAAGACAAGGGTGTGGATTCTTGGTGTGATTACATGAACGATATGACAGTATTGAAACCAAAAGCAATCGCAACCCACAAAAAACGAAATCCAGATGGAAATGTAAAAGAATCTCGAGCGAGAAATCTAAGGAATTCTTTCATCGATGTCACTGAGGGATTAAAGAAATTCTCGCAATCTTCGGATCAGCTTATTAGGGGTCGCGATTACCTATCGTCTCGTACCTCAAAGCGTAGTAGGTTACAAAAGACTCAAGGAATAAATCATGATGATGTGGATGTGAGTAGCATCGATGAAGCTACAGATGAAAATGACCTTGCAGACTCAAGGTCTCAAAATTCTGAAACATCAGGGGAGGACGAATCCAGTCCTGTAGATAGTAACTTCACTTTGGAGGACGACGTGCTCGCGGTGATAATGAACTATACTCCCACGTGAGATTGGTTTGTCCTGATATCTCACCCAACTAAGGACTTCCCTTCTCATCACGAGATCAACAGCAAGAAATATTTTTATCAGATCCAATACTCCACATGTACATCGCTTCCATGTCATCTCCCCTCTTGGTCTGCCAAATCACGCGCATGCAGTCACACCCTCTGGAATTGGATATAGCTAGATCGATGGTATTTAAACCTGTATGCGGATACAATCGACGGCGTTACGATGTCGCATTCTGTATGTTCGGCCGAGATCATCTTGTAGTGTAGAAATTTCCACGCATTGGCTCATTTCAACGAGGAGGCACTCTGCATTCAGACAAACCGTCAAGTTGACCAACGTGGAACAAGAGCTCGTATTAGCATCTTTATTGCCAGCTATATAATCGACGATAAAAATCCAGTTAATAATCACCAAATACAAAACTACTTGTGGTGCTCATTGCTCGGTGGTTCTCGTTTACAACAATTCAGAATTGTCACATAGATATAGAATTAGCTTCTTCTGAAATTTGCCTTCCGTTCACCGTTGAAAAGAGGCGTGATTGAAGAAAAGCAAATCCACTATAGCCATGAGGTCTATTTACCGCAACATGATACATAACGAGAAAAGGACAAGGATATTAGCAAGCGTCCACATGGACACGCATTTCATTTCGAAGGCTGCTGGATTTCTATAGAACATAAATACTACAGATTTCACATACTTGACTTGTAAATTTATAGATTCTATCGACTTAGATCATAAACAACTCTTGGTCAATAATTCGTTATATACTACAATATCCAATTATAGTATTCTATCATGTGTCGAAATATATAACAGCTTATAATCTCACAGTTGTTTTGACTTAACCATTTGCTCTCAGTGTCGATTTCAGAGGCACCAAACCCTAGATGCAATTAATGTATAGCGAACTCGAAAATATCCGCACAATAAACAACGATCAGTGAAGTGGCTTCTTTCGAATCACGAAGGGGATTCAACTCATCACGTGTCGATGAAGTGATAAATCGGTTTAGAATCAATTTAATGCGGATTGCAGATACAGTACCCTGCTAAAACAGAAGCAACCTTATGTATTAATAATGCACCAACTCTACACATCATTCATCACATTGTAAATGGATATGCCGCATATTTGCAGCTTTTGCGTAGACCAAATGTTACAATGTAAACCTCGAACCACCAGCACATTATACGTTTGCAACGCTAGATCGTTTGTACGCGAGGTCATCCAATAGAATGCGGCTGGGTGTTCATCAAGTACGCCGAGGTTAACAATGCGGACTGTGATCGATTTGATATGTCGAGTGCCTCTGGGTGGTTCGGTGGTCAGTGTTGCATACAAAGAATATACAGTTCCCACGTGGCGACTAGTATTGAAACAAGATGTCAAATGTGTCATTTACTCTTATAAAGACACTCTTTTGCCTGTCAACCAAGGTTGCAACCACGCCACAAGCACACGATTACCTCCCGCATCGTATGCCGGGAGATTCAAATTCGAGGGTGCGCAGATAGTATTCCACAAACTTTTACACATCGGTGCATGAAAATTTGAGTCGACTTCAGGTCACCAAAAGAAATCACATCTGCCTGGATACTGCCGACTACTCCATTTTCGGGGGCGCAGAACTAGTACTCGAGCCACTACTACTCTTACTATGTCGCACTCCACTAGCTTTGGTAGCATTGTGCGCGAATTTGTCTTCATCAACTTCACTATTTCCACTGCCGCTCGACGAGAAGATATCTTTCTCATCGCCTTTCTTAGCCTGCACACTCTCGGTGTCCACCGTCTCGCTGATATTGTCCAACTCCTCTTTCAGTTCTATATCTTTCTCCTTTTCCTCCGCTTTCTTCTTCTCCGCTCTTTCCTCGTTCATGAGTTTTTCTTCGTCTCTAATAGTTTCCAGCTTTTCTTTGAGAGATGCCTTGTCGTGCTCTCGCGCAGCCATCAAATCTCGGTCCGAATGGTCCAGTAACATTTGAACCTAAATCACAAGAAGATAAATTTTGGACACAAAACTCTGCGAGAGATTCAAACTAATCAAAGCCATATAAAATCGATGGCATGAGGATAGAAGCACGCTACTAAACTTAAAACGCACAGATAAATAGAAAAGGATGATGTATTTATCTATGACAGTCCTGGCACTTTAACGCATTCGAACGCGATACAAAAACCAAAAAAACAAACAATGAATGCTCCTATTGATACATATGACTCCAGATTGATGCTAGGAGTCGAGTTTAAGTCAGCGGATGTTGGCTGTGTTGCATTCTGCGCGTGCATCAATTGAATGCGAGAACCCTGTAGTAGCGTCTATGCGAACTAAAAGTGGTGAACCGAGCTAACTCCTAGACGAACATGAATAGAATGTTTTCACCAGTACATAGCTACCAGCCATCTATTGATGGGCTAGTAGGGTTTAGGGTTTTAGATCGTGTTGCCAACAACACTACGATTTCACATTCAAAAAGATTACACGTATAATAAAAAAATTACCATCTTTCAGCATAATATCTAAATTTTGGCGCCTCAGGCTTACTATACAACATTGATTTGTCAGCGTGGATATCACAATGACACTCGCTCGTTTACATGAATGACGCAACGGACCTGAGTCAAGAAGGACTTCGGTACAGTCGAAGACAAGGAATCGAGTTTCTTCTCTGCGTCGTCATTTTGGAACAGCTTATCCAGTGCATTGTAGATAGCCGTATCTGCATACATCACACGCGATTTCTATACGAGTGGATGAAAGGTACGCCGAAGACGAAATGTGGTGAGAATCAGTTCAATTGGCGGACACATCAGCTTCATTACAGCGCTAGCTACACAAGTCCTTCTGTACAGACGTTTCCACAAGCGAATTACACGAAGTTATCCCACACTAGCCAACGAACACCCTCATGAAGCAAATGCGAACCAGAAAGAGAACAGCAAATATATTATGTAGTACAGTGATATACACATATACTATAGAATACAGCGGAGCTGGACATATTTGAGATCGTATATCTGCACAACGGTGACACCAATGATTCCAGCGTAGACCTGTTTCGTTCTACCGAAATACATATAGATATACGCACAAATTGATAATAGCACAGCAGAAAAATTAGGAAATATGTGTATGAGTGTGCACTCGAGTAGTAATCGCCATGAAAGGTGTCATAGAACTGAGCCTACCTCGATGGATGGCTTAGCATTAGGGGCCATGAACAAGAGCAACAGATTTGGCACTTTCGGGTCGATCGATAACTCGACCCACCACTTCAGTTGTTGCTGTAGGGCTTCCGTAGATATCAGCGAATGCCTGACACAGAACAGACAGAGACAGTGAGTAGAACAGCGGTAGTACTCACCGGGAAGTGAGTACGAGCCGACAATGATAGGGAAAAAACTAGTCGGTCAGGTCAGCCTAAACTCTGAAAGACGACTCTGGAGAATACATTAAAAACGAGTCCAATCACGAGCACTGACAACCGAAAAATAGCCCAAATTGCAACTAGAGTCCGAGGCTATCCGTGTAGAGCTTATCTCGCGTATCAGATTGAGAATTGCAGCAACAAACGGGGACAGGCACAGAAACTGAACCACGTATTACAGATATAAGTTTGACAGACGCACAAACACATTCGAGATGCGTTTTACATGTATGCAGCGGGACGATACAACTATCAGAACATTTTGAGATGCGGAAGTACATGCACATTCGATAAGTTTGATAAAGTGTTCCCAGCATACCTTAGAGTTCTCCTTCTATTGGCAACTACGAGCTCGACCCGCGATAAATCGTCGATACCTTCGACATATAACATCTTGTCGTCGTACTGTTACAAGAACCAGCGAGAGATGCCATGTGTTATACCAAGCTAGAAGATAATCACAAAGTGCTGAAGGCTATGTCCTATTCAACAGCTTTGACAATGAAGTTTGTCGTACTTACAATTCGGCCGAGCATATTGCACGGCCACTAAAGTGGAGATTTATAATGTGCGAATCAGCTGAATCAGTTCAAACTGACTCCATATCAAATCCAAGCCTTACGAAGTGCATGCATCGCATACTCACGTACTTAGCAATTGTTAGAAATTGGTAGTATTGGTTGGAATTGTTCAGTCAAAATATAGCACAGATACATGCAAAGCTCCGATTGGGATAGATTTCGTCCATAACCATGTGTGTATGCTAGATCAAACTCATATGGGCACGCATACTTTAGTATATGCATGCGCACAGAGTTGTTCGCACATATACACATACTTTTAGGACAGCCATTTTCTTCTGGATTCGTGTCGCCATGGCATCCGGCGATCCTGTAGTTTTACACTATTTCAATACGTCAAGAGAAAGGCAGGTGAGTGAGAGACAGTGTGCCTTCTGTAAGATGGTATTTGCCACAAATACGACACCAACATCTGGTAAGGGTTGTCACCAAATACCAAGCCGAAGAACCATGGCAAACACAACAGAGAGTTTGTAGTGGTTTTTACGATAACATACATCTAGTAAGACAGACAAACTGTGGATCAGATTCGGCTCCGAGACTAGTTTGGGCAAGGTGATCCGGCCTTTGACCAGCGGTGCGACCAGGCGTATGTCATTTACAGTCAGCGAAGACCCCAGCCTAACGCGCATCAGAGCCTCTTTCACTTCGCCAATCGGGCAGTGTGCCAAGTTTGCTTCCTGCGACCGAATTGATCCGTGGTTCAGTTGGTCGATGGTATGTGTATGTGGAGCATAAGCGGTAGCGTAGGTACGTGATAGGGCAGAAATGTGGGGTACCGAGTTCAGTACTTGGCCGCCTAATCCTTATTCTATTATAGCATCCAATCCAACCCAAAATCCAACAGTAAGTATCTACAAGTCGCAAGGCCCATCCAATATAAGATATGACCCTTTCCGAGATGACGATCCAACGTTCGTGCCAGCTTGACCAATCAAACAACACAAATTTACCATAACAAGACCATCATTTCTATAAAATGAAAGGCAGAGCCGATAAGTGGATGGTTGCCACCCAGTACACAAACGCAGACCGCAGCCGTACCTTTATTTACAACTGCATGCAAGATGATACGAAAAGGGCACTCACAAACACACATACTCTACCTTATAAGCGAGCAAAAGCTGTCACATATCTCGCATAAGTGTAACGCCAACATTCAACACACATACCCTACCTTGTAAGCGTGCAAAAGAAGTCACATACCTCACATAAGTGTAACGCCAACATTCGTTTGTGCCTCAGCTGGTCGGGCACCTCTGAGAAGTACTCATCCTCAGGGAACTTCTCGTCGAAGGTCGACGGTAGCATTTGCGGGAACAGCTATGGTTTACAATTGGCAGCAGAGGTACGTTATGATAAGTAGTATATACTACGTACGTGGCTTTGCTAAAGTACGTCTTCAACTTTTTTCAGAACGAGCGTACACGATGCAATACATCTTTTTGGTACCAGAATCAATATTAAATTGAAGCGTGAGCTATCACCGCAACTTCAGCACCTCACATCACGAAACACAAAATTGGTCAATGGTCTCAGAATAGAAACGTTGAACAGCCAGCCCGACACTCAGGAGATGTCACTCTGAGCTACTCAACGCATGCGGCGAGTGTCAGCTATACAAACGATACTATCACGAGGTACAACGATACAGCCCTGATCGTAACATGACCCACACGCATGCATGTATGTATGTATGTATGTATATATATATATATATATGTATGCACGTATGTATGTATGAATATATGTATGTATGTATGTATGTATGTATGTATGTATATGTCTGTATGTATGTAGTAATAGTATATACGCCAAGACCTAATACTTGGCGCCTACATTCCGGTATTCTCAAATATTGGTCGTGGACTGTCAACAAACCTTCAATGCCACCGGAAGCAGTAGCTCTCCCCCAGGGATGATGATAAAGAGTGAGAATGGCACCATGCGGATCAGATCCACCGTGGTCATCATCAGCATACGCTGTTCGCGTCGCAGGAGATCTTCGCCCGTATTCAGCTTCTTCAGAATCCCTCTGAATGTTCGTAAGCGCGCAATACATAAGTTTAGATTCATATGAGAACTATGCGTGTGTATGTGAAAGATCATTCCGGAGGACGTTGCACTACAGATATTAAACCCATCAAGGACAGAAATTGTCATTGCACTACAGAGAATGGACTTTATCAAGGACATACATTGTCGTGTCAAGTAGGAAAGAAAACATTACAGTAAACAACACAATATGAACCCGCACATGAGACACCTAATTGAGGCGCTCGTTTGCGAAATGGTGCGAGTTTCCACACATATCGAGCCAAGTGAAAATTAGTTCGGTACTTCAAGCGAGAACAGAAAGTACGCTGAAAGTTACGCAGATCAATACAAGTGAGAATTTCACGAAATAAGTATATTGGCTGATTACAAGCGAGATGTCTATTCGGAAGCTACTACCTAGGCTAGATAGTGAAATAAACCCTCAAGCATCGCGCATACAGTACAACTGAAGTTTTGGAAGAAAATAATAGCTTGATACGTATGCGAGTGTATCCTGAGATTGCCCACTAGATCAGAAATTGTAAACAGCTTTCCTTCAATCACAACCATTTCTAGCAGAACTGTCCTCTATATTGGACATCAACAATTCGAAGTAACACTCCATCGCATCGATAGTCACACAACAAAAAGCTTACTCTATAGCGACACACGAACCAACACATAAAAAGCGAACATGAACACAAGAGCTGGAAGTTTATCCATGGCAAATGCGTAGCAACAATACTTCCGAGACATACGCAGTAATCCGGACATTGGTAGCGAGGAGCTTAAAGCCGTCGACGGTGTGGTGAAAGCCGTGCACAAGGCTTTTCCACATTCTCGAGACTGCCAATTTCCAATGTGTGCCGATAAAAAGTTCAAAGATGAAAAAACAAGTTCAAAGGAGCTACTTATTGAAAGGCGCACACGGCGTGATGGTCCCATACGTGTATTATGTATATCTATATTTATACGCATATGTATATGTTCATAAGTACATACGTACATACGTTTATATATATATATATATATGTATATAAATAAATAAATATATATATATCCACAGATACAGACACAGACACTATATATATATATACATATATATATATATATATACATATATATATGTATAAACACATAAATGTATATACATAAACATATACATACATACATACATACATATATATATATACAAGCACACATATACACACGAATACACACACACATATACCTATATATGCACACATACAAAATCTCAATGGGTACTTAAAATAACCATGTAACAGTTATATATATAAATATATAAATTTATAAATAAATATATACTTTGCAAGAATAAAATTAAAAATAAATACAAAAATAAATATGATTATACATCTATATATATATATATTAAATCCTTTATAGTTTATTGTAAAGCTACACATATGAGTATATATATATATATATATATATATACACATACATACATATACATGTATATACATATATATATACACTCACACTCACACACATATATATATAGACAAATATTTATTCATATATACATATATATCATACACTTATATGTTTATATGTTTATATATATATATATATGCGTCCACAGGTATTTTTATATATGTGTATCTAAATAATATACTTATATATGTTTATACATACACATATATCTTCATATATATATATATATATATATATATGCGCCCACAGGTATTTTTATATATGTGTATCTAAACAATATACATACATATGTTTATACATACACATATATCTTCGTATATATATATAGGTATAATATATATATATAGTATCGCCGACCTAGTATTTTTATAGTGTATATTAAAATTATACTTATATAGGTTATATTATACACAACGCACA